AGCCAGCTCCGAGGTGCTTGCTCCCGGTGTCTCTGCAGGAAGAACTACAGGAGCCTGGGGCTCTTCTGGCTGGGCTCGCTGATGATGAGCATCGTGGTGTTCCTGCTGGGGAACATGATTGGTATGAGGAGGGGAGGAGGGGGCTCTGCTCCGTGTCCAGCCCCCGCTGTCCCCACTGCCCGTGCCCGGTGGGTTTGCTGCTCCCCGTGGGCAATCCATCCATGCCCTGCTCTCCTCCCCCAGGGAAATACAGCTCCGAGCTCAGCCCTTCCTTCCTGCTCAACCTGCCCTACGTCCTCCTCCTGCTCTGGGCCGGGGTGAGGCTGTTCCAGCAGCCCAAGGAGCTGCTGTGCCTCAGCCCAGAGAAGGTGAGCTGGGGCTGCCCCTGGAACCCAGTGCCCCTGCCAGGGCTGGGTTAGGGGGGGTGCAGGGCCCAACCCAGGGCATTTCCCTCTCCCAGGTGGCAGAGGAGCAAAGTAAACCCCTGTACAGGCGGCCCCAGGACGTGGCCCTGGTCCTGGTGCTGCTGCTCATGGCCTCCTTCACCTTCTTCAGGGGGATGGTGAGTGCTGGGCCCCCTCACGGGGGGGCCTGGAGAGGCTGGGGGGGGGGGCCTTGAGGAAGGTGCATCTGCCCCCCATCCACCTCCCCTCCTCTCTCCAACCCCCCCAGGTGGTTCTGGACTGTCCTGCTGACTCGTGCTTCGACTACATCTACCAGCACGAGCCGTACCTGCGCGACCCCGTCGCCTACCCCAAAGTGCAGGTGAGCGGCGTGGGGGTCCAGCTGGGGCCACCAGGACCACCCCCCACCAACCCTGGTGCCACCAGGGACGGGGTGACCTTCTCTCTGTCCCTCCCCAGATGCTGATCTACATGTTCTACGCCCTGCCCTTCTTCCTCCTCTGCATCTACGGGCTGGTGCTGCCCGGCTGCTCCTGGCTGCCCGACTGGAGCCTGGTGTTCGCCGGTGCCGTGGCACAGGTGAGGCTGTCCCAGCGCCCACGGGGGGCAATGCTGGCACCCCCAGGGCTGGGTTTGGGTCCCAACCAGGGGCAGGGGGTGGTTGGGGCTGAGCTTGGGGGCGCAGCTCCCACACCCGCACGTGGAGCAGCAGCTCTTGCTGCTGCCTGGTAATTACTTTGGCCCCGGTGGATTTTGCCGGGGCCGGGGATTTGTCGGCCAGAAATAGGCTGGGGCAGGGCTATAATAGGATGTGCCACCCTTTGGGGCCGGGTGGGCTGCACAAGATACCTCCCCCCCCCCATTGCCACCCCCTGCCCTGTGTCCCCAGGCTCAGTTCTCCCACCTGGGCTCGTCGCTGCACGCCCGGACCCCCTTCCCCTACCAGACCCCCGACGACGTCCTGTGGAGCTTCCTCCTCTCCAACATCCTCTACGCGCTGGGCCCGCAGCTCCTGGTGCTCCGCTGCCTGCGCCGCCCCGCCTTTTTCCTGCCCCCTGCTCCTGCTGCCCTGCTCCGGGCAAAGAAACACCAGTGACAGGTCCTGCCCACCCTGGGGGCTGCTGTGCCCACCCTGAGGGGCTGCTGTGCCCACCCTGGGGGCTGCTGCCCGGTGACCCCAGTCCTGTTCCACCACAGAGCGGAGGGTCCCGGCTGCCAGAGGTGTCCCCAGGGGTGCTCTGGTGGTCCCCCCCGCTGTCCCAAAAGGCCGTGGGGGACCTCAGGATGCTCTGAGGGGACGTGGCTGCAGCCACAGCCCTGCCCTCGCCCAGGGGGGTCTCACTGGTGGGGGTGTCCCCTCCCGGCGGGTCCCGGGGGGCCGTGGGTGCCCTGGAAAGGACTCGGGAGTGGGGGCAGTGCCAGGGGAACACTGTTTACAAAATAAAGGTTCGTTCTGGAGCTGTTCCTGTGTCTGCTGTGCCCGGGGATGTCCCTCCCTGCCAGCCATGGGAGCACAGGGATGGACCCTCCACACCCCCGGCATCCCCAGGGATGAGGAGCCACCCGGCTGCTCCCCTGCGGCCCTTTGGGGTGGGGCTGGGGGGTCCCTGTGGGTGCCCACGGGTGGGCGCGGTGGGCACACGGGTGTGTGTGTGGCGGGGGGGGAGGTTGTGAGGGTGGGGAGGGGGCGCACGGGTGGGGGGCGGGCACATGCTCTGCCCTTGCTCTGCCCGGGGCGGGGGGGATTTCCCCGACAAAACTCCTCGTGCCCGAAGTGTTCCCCGGGGGTCCCGGCAGCACCGGGGGTACCGGGGGCGGGGGGGAACGGTCGGACCGGTGACCTTGGCGAGCGGCCGGCCCTGCGCAGCGCCGGGAGAGCCGGG